GGGCAGCAGAGGAGACGTTGATGGTGGCCAGCGCTGTGCTGTCTGTTCTGAACCTTCATGCTGCTGTTTGTTCTCCTCTTCCACCACATCAGTGTTCTCTTGGCTGCACCTCACAGGGACTTCCTAACAATTCCCTTCCCTCCTAATAGCTGGCTCCGTCCTCTCGTATTTACAGCTGTCGAGGCTAGTGCCAGCTTCTTTTCCAAGCGTAGGGCTCACCTTCAATTTTAGGTGCGGTATCCAAGTGTATCAGGATGAAAGCTGGGTGTTGTATTTTAGACCATGTTTCAAGTAGTTTGGTCTTTTATCAATGAAGCATGAAATTAAAGATTTGCTCTTAATGGTCTTGTGATCTTTGGCAACGTACTTCAATTCTAATGCTAGCGTTTCGTTCTGTCCCTCTCTTTGTCATATTGTTAGAATTATTCACAAAGATTGTAATTGTGCTTGTTGTGGATTACTGCTGAAATTATGTGTTTGCTAGGAAAAAATATGCTGTGGGAGTTTTGGATCTGAACTTCCCTTTAAAGCAGCAAACTTGACAGAACCTTCGTCAGGTTTGAGAGTTAAAAATAAACTTCTTAAACAACCCCCCCCCAACAACCAACAACCAACCCAAATAGAAAAGCTCACTTTTACCTAATAACGTAGCTTTTGGAAATGAGGCTTTGTAATCAACGCCAAATGTATTTATGAGCCATGACAGAATTATGATGATGAGCAACTCTGTCCTCAAAGAGGATTTCTTGAGAGACAACAGAAAGGAATGAAAATGTATGTGTGTGTATAGATATTGAATGTATGTATAAAAACATAAAGGTTTCTGTACTTGCATGCGCGCACACACATATGCTGTGTTACAATTCCTCATTTTGAGGCCCATCACTAAACGTTTTGCATAACCAATACTTTGCGAGTTGCTTCTAGCGTCTGAGGTGTAGAAGAACATTCGGCATAAGCAGAGCTGCCTGTCCGGCGTCGGCCGCAGCGGTAGCTGTTGCTCCGACTGTGGGTGCCTGAGTTCCTTACGTGGCTTAGGAGGAGGAACGTGTTGCAGGGTGCACTTTGAGCTAAGATCACTTTTCATCCACAGAGCCGAATGAGCATAATTTTCCAAACAAAGAGGTTGTGGTAGATACCTTGGGTGGACATTGCAGTGAAGCAGCTGCTCCAGCGCTGGACGTCTGCCTATGACTGGTTTTTCACACAGGTGAGCTTGGGTGTTACTGACCTCCTGTAGGTATAGTACCCGTGCCAGCCAAAATGAAGGCTGGTGCTCACTTACAAGGGGGCTGGAGCTGTTGGACAAACTGCTGGCTGTAGGGACAATGGTACTGAGAGGCACAGGGATGTCGAGTAGGGAGGTACCCTCTCACGTCGTAACTGTATTTTTCTTGGGCTGATATTTGTGCTCTTCATTGTCGGGACAAAATCTGAACCTTTCGTTCCTCAGTCTCTTGAATTAAGATACTCATCTTAAAGAAAATTTGTCGTTCAGCGGAAAATAGACCCACACACATCTTACAGTTTCCAAAAGCCACGTTTTATTTGGAGAATTTTTTGACGTATTGATAGCTATGCCAGCAACCAAGCTTATAGGAGCCGTTCAATGTGGAAATAAGTAAACATTTTCTCTGAAAACTGTTTGGGATTCTGTGGTTCACAGAAGCTTTCTCAGAATGCAGCATGACAAATAACAAACGTCTGCAAAATACCCAGCGCTGGCGGTGTTTCTCTGCTTGCAGAATGCGAGGTGGCGTGGGAGCATGAGTTACCGGCGTGGTTTTAGGAAGGTACAAACACCCGTGCTTTCTTCTTTCGTATGCCTTCCCTGGGCTTTGTATGTGAGGACTGGCTTCACAGCTTAGGAAAGAAAGGGGAGAACTGAGACTGAAAATCCCCAATAGCAGTCAGCGTAAGTACGCCAATAGGGTTCTTGCTCTCCTGCTTCATGTGCTAAAGCAGATTTGAATTTACAATGACTCCTGTTGATAAATTGTATTGTCCTTATAGTGCCAGTGCAGAAACCGCCTGACAGTGACTTTTTGTAGTAGGAACTGGGCTTCTTGGCTTCCCATTTCTGGATTTCACACCGTACTCCCTGTTGTTCAAGCGGTGAATACAGCTGCGTAGTCTTAAATGCTGTTAGATCAGACGTGCTCCTTTTTCCAAGCCAGATAATGCACAACCTCTCTACTCTTCTTCAGTGGACGGTCCAGCCTGTACTCGACTGGTAGATCTTTTTTTTTTTTTAAATTTTTTCACCCAAGGCAGAGTAGGTAACACTCTATCTTCTCTTTGTTCCTGAGGTCCTAAAAGTAAATACCTATCGCATCACTTTTCCATGAATTTAGCACTTGTGGTTCACTGGCAGAAGTACATTCAATACTATTAAAAAAACCAAATATTTCCTACTTCCTTTACCTTCCTCAGACATTCTTGTTCAAATATCAGTATAACTTCTTTTTGATTTAGTCAATGGATTTTTTTATCTTGTACTTTCTGCACGCCCTTCCCATCTTAAAATAAAACTGTGCCTTGGTAGCCCCCTTTCTTCCCCCTCGTCGGCACAGCAGGCATAAGGAGATGGTATTTGGCTGGTAACAATTGTAAATGCAATTTAGTTTGGTTTTTAATTTTTGAATTGGATTCAAGCCCATATGCAGATGCAACTTCAGTAAAAATTGTAAGATAAAGAAACCCCCACATGATTCACCTTTTTTAATAAAGGCTAAAATTTAGAGTATGTTTAAACTATGTAAGTGCTTATACACGCAAAAGGTACACAGTACTCCTGCTTGATAAAGTGTAATACGTTATCACTAGAAAAGAGCTAACCCTTTTTTGGGAAAAGTAAATGAAATATAAAATGAGAAGCATCATTGTAACCATATCTTTACGTAACCAATTTTAAACTGGTTAATTTATTTTACTTTGAACACCAGCTTTATGGTGTTGAAAGTCACTAGCTCAGAAAAGTGAGAAATCAGGCCTTAATAGGTGCGGAAGAAGTTAAAAAGGGAACTCATCTTTGAGGGAAATGCTAATGCAGCTGTTCCTCATAGTAAAACGGGAGCAAAAATAGGAACAAATGTCTGTCTTTTCCCTTTGCCTCTTGTACCTTTTAAGAGCTTCTGTAAGCACAAGTAAATATTTTTTTTTTTCTCTCTGGATTGTTGCAAAGAATAAAACTATGAATTTATGGTTAGTTAACTTGAACTGGCTGAGAGTATTTTACTTGTGCATTGTCTCAGCATTGCAGGTAACTCTTACAGAAAACCTCTGCGGAGATTTCTGCTTGGGATTTGGATTGCAGCCTCTGCTTGCCAATGTTTTGATTATCGGCTTAAATTAAAAAAATGTTCTGTTTTGTTTATTTGTTGTGGTACTGAAAAGTTAGTTCTCGGAAAAGCGGGTGTAACTGGGGGGCAATAAAGTCTTGCGGCAGCTGGGAAGAAGTTTGATGGACAGCGGAGCTCGCTCCGGTTACCCCTCACCACCCGTTCGCTGCCGTTGGTGGTAGTTGGTTGTGATTTTGTGCATAACAAAGAAGTAGTGCCCTGTAAACAGCATTAAAGTTTTCTTGGGCTCCTTTATGCCAGTTAGTGGTGGGAGTATTTGCACTCTTACCCAGTACCATACCTGTTCTGGTTTGTGGCATAACCAGCATTTGATATGGGTTATATTTTTAATACAATTATATGGTGCTGGGTGTGTAAACAGCATTTGTCTTGAGTATGTTTCTTTTTTTTTTTTTCCAGGGCCTAATGCAGTTAAAGCTTTTTAGTTAACAACTCCATAGGTTTTCTAATATTTACAGAATTGCTGCACAAGTATATTTTACTTTAGGATCAATTAAGTATAATTGTTGCTTCATAGGGGAAAAAACCCTTTTAAAATGCACAGTGAGTTTTCCATATCTGTCTCAGGCACCTAAATAATACATATAAAGGAAATTCATAAGGTTCTGTGGTGCAGAATTGTTGGTTCGGTTTCCAGCTGTTCATCTTGGTGATGTTCATCTCCGAATCGGGTGTTTGAAACGCTGCGGCTTCGCTGCGTGCCCTGGAAGAGGTGCGCCTACAGCCGTGTGCTCATGCCTGAGCGGAGCTGTTGTTATCTCGGAGTAACTCGGTGGTACGTGCTCAGTCGTCGGCTGCTGCAAGAGCTCTTGCTCGTTGAACTCGGGAGTAGTTGTCTGACTGTAGGCAGTGCCTTCCTTTGAACCGTCGGCAAGCGTGGAGACACAGGTTGAATGTCAGGCTGGTGACTTCGCTGCTTGTGTCTTGGCTGCTGCAGCTGTCCGGTGAGCTGGATGGGGTGGCCGTTGCTGTTTCACAAGTCACAACAAAAAAATTCTTGGAGGTTCTGCTGCTGTACAGGACCTGCCGCAGTTAGGTCAGCGAGCGTTCTGTGTAAAGTGGACTGGCACGAGCCGTTTTGTTAGTGGAGACTGCTTTTTCTGGAGCATCCGCGTGAGTTTACAGGAGAGTTTGAGGCAAAAAGAAATGTTGCAAACAAATGGAAGTAAAGGATCTTACATCGCGAGAATTGGCACTTATTACGTGGGAAGACTATAGGATGTTCTGCAGACGACGGTGCTAAATCAGGCTCTTTTTCCTTGGAAGTCGGTTGCACAGTTTGAAGTCTGAGAACAGGTTTGTGATTCTCACGTGACTGACTGTACATACTCTCAGCCTCTTCATTCTAAATGAGTGCAGTTTCTGTGGAAGTTCATGAATTATTTCTTTGTTTGAACAAGTTCGTGTGCTTTTGATTTGGTCTTGAGAATGTGTATCTTAATGTTTTCGTGGTTTGCTTGCTTTCTGAAATAGTTTTACTCCATGATGTTAGGATCTCCAAGCGATTAATGTAACTTTTTCAAAAGATTCTGAAAAGGTTCGATTATCGTTCATATCTTTTAGGCAAAAACATTATTTCTTTTCTCTTACAGAACATGCATAAATTTTTGATTAAATCCTTTTTGTTCCACAGAATCTGTCTATGACCTTCTCCCAAAGGAGCTGCAGTTACCACCTTCCAGAGAAACATCTGTAGCATCCATGAGCCAAACAAGCGGTGGCGAGGCAGGTTCGCCGCCTCCAGCTGTAGTTGCTGCTGGTAAGCATTCTCATTTATTCAGTTGCTTTGTTAAGGTTTGTAACGTTCTGGCCAACATGAACAGTGCTGGCAAAGTTTTGATTGTAAAAGAGAGCTTGTGGAGAAGTAACAGAGTTCATTCTAGGAGAATTTGGGTGATGTAAATTAAACTAAACTGGGTGATCTAAATTATCAGGTGTTCTGCGTTAATGGTCGCTCTATTTCATCCGTATTTATATATATCTTCATAAGAAATAAGTTACCCATTTTGCTATTCTGTTACTACGCAGCACAGGCCTGTTAACTCCTAGAATGCACTCTGTCTTCAGAGGTAATAAATACCGATTTGGAACTAAGGCAGAGTGCTGACCAACTGTAAACCAGCAAATTCTAGCTAGGGTAAAAAGTGGAATGGGAGACTACCTTTTGAGCTATGAAGCTTTTACCGAACCGTAAGGAGGAAGAAAGGTCCTGTTTTCCTTTAAGAGGCCTGAGGAAGCTTAACATTTAAACTCCATTCACACATAGCTCCCTATTGTAATGTATTACAATGTCTCAAATACATGAAAATATAGTATATGTTCAGGATGGCACTTCTATAAACTGATAAGTTTAAATTAGTTATTTTTCTAATTGACAGCATATAAAATGAGGCATGACCTTTTTATCTTCGTCTTTATCTTACTCCCAGTCATGGTTTAGCCTTTAGTCTAAAGACTCTGTCATTGGTCTTCATTAAACATAAAGTGAGGATTTAAGGACAAAGTTCTGACTTGAGAGGTTAGCCTTAGTGCTGGTTTGCATCTGGAGTTCTTGTCAGTAACTTGTATATATTAGTAAACATCTGTGCAATGAGGAAAAAAATGATCATTATGCTCTTGATAGATGCATCTTTCTTCATTAGATAAGTCTTTTTTGCATAATTTGATCCCCATATTTCTTACAAGGTCATGTTCCACTTTCCTAATTGGCCTTAAATTGTTGCTTGAGAAAAATGTATATATTTAAGGTGAGGATTCAGATAGCTGCATTATTCCTTTTTCTCTCTATGAGTTCATACGCATTAAATGTTTGTGTGAGAATGTTTCCCAGATTTGCGTGGTACAGGAATCCTGATGAGAAACTGAAGTGATTGTAGACTTGTCAGAGAAACTTTACAGCACTGCTCACCATTCATGTTTTGCCAGACCTTTTCTCAGAGAACCTGTGGATTTAACTGTGCACGGTGGAACTTCAGTCATTGAAAGAATTTGATGGGTTTATTTCTTATATTAAAAGGATTTGATATTTTCATATCACTTATTCAAAAAATAATTTGGGCATATATTTCTAAAATCAAGATACTTAATGATTGGTTTGGTTCAAAGACATAGCAGCAACCAAATCTGGTAGAAACGTGTATCTTTAAAAACAAGTGAACAACAACAAAAAAAAAATCACACAAACGCTGTTACACTCTAAATCCACAGATAGACATGAACTGCTGATTAATTCTGTCTCTAACAGAAAATACTTAAAAACTTGAATGGAACTAAATGTCTGCTGCCTCCAGGTATTTAGTGTCTGCTAACAGCCAATCCAGTTCCTTTTAAAAAAAACTAAGAATGTGTTAGCTATGTTTGAGTTAAACTGCAGCACAATTTTCTTGAATAAAAAACTTCAAAAAAATAGCGTTGAGATTTTTTGTTAACACTGAAAGAAGACCTGCTCATCAATTCAGAACACTTTTCAACATCAGGATGGCGTAGTGTCACAAAGACTTTAAGCTGGTACCGCTGCTGCAAGAAGAGCTCTGCATGTGCTGCAGAGCGCGTTGGATCAAGGACCTGCTCCAGGTTCGAGTTGTCCCGGGTGGGTTCGCTGCGGGTCTGCACAAACGCTTCTGGTGGCGGGAGGAGAGGAGTAGCGTGGGGAAGGAGGAGCAGTCAGAAAAGGTGGAGCTAGCTTCGCTCAGTGGCTGTCAGGTTGTGCTGGTTTAAATGATTTGCTGAACTGTGCCTTTGGAGACCTACCGTCAGTGTTTGACGAGACGGTTAAGTTTCTGGGTGTTGTTAAAATCAGGATCAGAAGTATTAAGCACAAGCAGCTACAGTTCTCCAAATTGTTAAAAATTGTGTTTAAAAAAAACCTAACCATCCAGACAAAAAGCCCCAAACAGAGCAAAGACTAGTTTTGTTTTCATTGCCTATGTCACTGTCCACTGCAGTGAAGGCAAGAACAATTGAATCTTCGTCTTCTATAAACACATCATTGTGATGACCAGGATCATTCAGCAGTGAGTTGTGCTGCATGCACGTGGACGGAGAGCTGAGCCCCAGCCCAGGGCAACGTCGTGGGTGCCTAACTCCCGTAGGCATCGAGTAAGGCTCAACCTCAGCATTTTGGCCAAGGAGTGGTATCAGATAGTTTTAGTGTAACACGTTAGTGGGGGTTTTGTTTGGTTTTGATTTTTTCCACTCCTCCACCATATCCTTGAAAGAAAATATATGCATCTTAGATAAATGTTTACCTGCAAAACAGGTCTGTAGGCTGTGTCCCAAAACTATAGAGGCAGAGCAGAAAGCTGAAAAGAATGGTCCCTGCTCCTCCCTCTGGTGTTGGGAGGTAAGCGAGCGAGCGAGCGAGTAATATATATAAAAAGATGTATTACGAACCAAGGGTGGACAGATGATTGGGTATTTCTGGGAAGTCTGAGGCCAGACTTTTTTTTTTTTTCTCTTTAAAGCTGGGGACAAACTCTTGGGAACAGAGGAAGGAACATCAATGTCTATAAAAGTTGTAGGTGGGGGTAAAAGGAGAGGTGAACTTACTCTTTGCAGTGGATTGGTTTATAGTTGTAGTCGTCCCCCCCCGATTCCTGTGTAGTGCCTGATTAGGATTTTTCCTCCGAGCCATCTTGAATCGGCATTTCTGAACTTGGTGCTGGTACCCGCAGGGCACAGCTACCTTGGAGCAGGAGTGTTCTCCGGCATTCCCAGTTGACTTCTAGAATCCCAGGAGCACTTTTGCTTTTCATTGAGGTTAGCTGTGTGTTTCTTCTGCAGCCAAATCCCTCCACTTCCTCAGGAGAACAGGACACAAGTGTTTTGGCTGCATTCTCGCTGTAGCCGTACCATGTTTCTAGATAAAAGGGTGTATTGTGTTTTACTGTTTTATTGTTTTAGGATTGCTGCAGTGTCTTTGAAAAGTTGCTGCTGCATTTTCAAGCCCTGTCACCCTGCCTAGTGTAGTAACGAGAAGTCGGGCTGGGCTGGGCTCTGATTTCCTAACAGGCAAATAAGAGGAAAATCAGCCTGGGCTTTGTGCACGTCTGTGTGCTTATACAGGAAAACATAAATATATATTTTACATTTATATTTTGAAAGCCCAAGATTGACCATTCATTTGCATGTATCGAGTCCTTAATAGCAGGCTGTGAGCACATTTTCAAGGAGCTGACGCTGTGCAGATGATAGAGCGAGGAGAAAACAGGAGTTTGGCAGCCTTATGTTCCTGCATCTGAAATCTTTCCCTTGCTTTGCGTGTCTCTCTTTTTATTTTTGATTTCAGCTCTTACCTGCTCTAAACCCTCACTTTTTGGGAAATGATAGTTCAGTCTCCATAGCATTGTAGGTAATCGCATTTACTGTTGTTTTTAAAAGAAAGGGCTAATTTGAAATGCTGCTAGCAGCACTGTACGTCGAAGTCAATTGCAGAGATGATTACTCTCGATAATGAGAGGATTACGTTACAGGGAATGATCCGAAGTGGTGAGAGCTTTTTACTACTCCTGTAATAGCGTACACAGTTTATTCTCCGCTTCCCAAAACACAGAGTAAGGTGGTATCTGGCTGAAACTCACCTTACTTGAGGCTTTTCTGTCAGTCACTTTGCTGTGGGGTTTTGTTCCATATAAATCACATTATCGGTAAGAAATATGTATTGCTGCAGTTAACTTCTCTGTTTTTTTTGAAGGAGCAGGATGGGCTGGTTTTAGCAGCTATGACCTTGCAGGGGCAGACTTTTAGTTCTTCCATTTGGAAATTTGTTTTGTGATTTACTGAACAGTTTTATTAAAATGGAATGTTGCTGATTGGATTTTCATTAATTTGTTAATAAATGTGTATCTCGTATTCATTAATCCAGACAAAAGAGGTATTACCCACTCTCTGAATATCAAACAGGCAAGTATAATTTAATAGAACTCTAGGATTTTGAGCTGTGATGTTCACAACCTAAGCTGCTATCTCAAGCTTCTAATTCTGTTATTCTTCTGGAAAGCAGAAGGGAGGGAAAGGATCTGACTCTACTGCTAGAAACTGTTCTCTGTGCTCGCTATTTGAATTACAAGTGTCTTTGTTCAGGGGACAGGAAAAGGAGAGTTTTGCCTGGTGTGGTACCATAAACAACATTAAATATGAATCATCTTCCAGACTCTTGAAATGCATGAGGGTGTCATGCTGAGAAATGTCGTTGTAAGCTGTGCCTGAAGATTTCTGGTATGAAATAGATGTGCCTGAAGCTTTAATAATGCCTTCTACGCAATATTTTTAAGCTCCAGTTGCAAGGAGGGATGCTTGATTCTTTTCAGTTGGTTCTTCAAGGTCGAACAATTTTTTCGTGTTTATCAAGACGCATTGAACAAGTGCTTCAAGTACTTAAAATTCTCACTGCTAATTTAAGACCTTTATCAAAGGTGGCTTTCTAGTTGGTAGGTCAACACCTTATTCTTGTCTTTTGGGGATGATTCAGGAGTATTTCTGACCATGTACTTTAAACAACTGTTGCATTTTCATCTTTTGTCTCCAGTAACAGG